CATTCAGACCTGTTCTCAAGAAACCGAACTAGGATACTGTTGTTCTCAACAATGATGTTATGAGTATCCCTGCAGACCTCTCTCGACGCTACTGTGTCACCTCTTTCTTGGATGTTATTGGTCACTTTCTTCTTGGGCTAGAGTTTAGCCCAAACTTCTTGTGATACAGTGTTAAGTATCACCACTTGGGAGTTGTCCAGCAAAGAACTTTGGACCTCCAACCTATCTTTGGCCTTTCGATGCCATAAGTCCCAATCTTTGGTGTTTTGGTTTCTGCCATCAGTTATGTGAAAGACTCTCTTCACTGCCAAAGCTTTGTTATAACAACTCGTGAGTTGTTCTTTGAGACTGATCGCTGAATTCAATCTTTCGAAGTTATGGGTTTCAGATTTTTCCAAACCCTCGTACGGATCGGTTTTCAACAGTTCTTCCACCTTCACGATTATGCCGTTCAGTCGTGAGGGGGAGAAAGTTTAAGCCGCTGCAGGGTAGTGTAGTCCCTGTAGGTTTGTTGCTGTTAGCCTTTCCAGGACAATTATTTCCTGCAGGTTTGTTGTTGTTCAGGGTAGTGAAGTCCTTGAACACGTTTGTTGCTGTTTAGGGGGAGTATGTTTCCAAGACACTGCAAGTCACATAAATATGGCAGTTCAAGCCACATAAGTATGGTAGTCCTTACAGTTTTATCGCTTTCAGCCACTGCAGGCCCCATCACCCATCTAACTCAGAGATGGGGATTCAATGGCGGTTCAAGCCACATAAGTATGGTAGTCCCTGTAGTTTTGTAGCTTTTAGCCATTATAGGCCCCATCACCCATCAATATCAGAGATGGGGATTCAGTCCTTGCAGTTTGTCATTGTCCACCGTTGCTCTCCTTCATCCACTTTTGAAGATGAAGTTTCACAAGCTGCTAGTTGTTCATTGACATGTGATAACCCATCTGTTTGCCTCACACTCTTGAAGACAAATCATCTAGTTCAAAACTGAGTTTATCTATTCCAAGCTTGGTTCATACAATTTGTATGCTCCAGCTTGAGGGGGAGTGTTAAAATTATTGATTATTGTGTGTGAACTGTGTGTGAGCGTGTGTATGAGTTGTGTTCAAGTGTGTTCCAACTAAGAGTGAGTTGGAAAGGAGTGTGGTTAGTTACTTTATTTTCCTATAAATGTAAGCTTAAGGTTAGAGAAGAGGCAAGCCCTCAAGTAATACATATATCTGTATTCATTTCAACACTTTCAATTCACACCAACACACACGAAAGATAGCAAAAGAGAATGTATATTATTGCTGTAAAACAAATGATCCAATCAAGAATTACACTCAAGGGAAACTCCCTCCTACTGGAACAATGATCCAGTCTAACTATACAAGTCAAAAACTACCCCCCTGTACAATTCAAACCCTTATTTATAGTTTCTTCCCCTTTCTAACAAACTAACAAACTGCTCCTAATCACCAACCACCTTTCCCGCTATTTCCCACTATTTTTCTTTCTCCATTCATACACCTTTAATGCTCTACCAGAAGAGGCCATAGATAATTGTAGAAAGCAAAAATAATTATCAAGAGAAAGAAATAACCCTAAAAAAATTTAGCAAATTCCAATGAACTTCCATCACAACGAAAACTACAGATCCTGAGGGAGGATGGAGAGGCGAGTCTGACATTGATGGTCGCCGTCGAAGAAGAGGCTAGATGTGTTATCACACACACAGGAATTGCAAGCGTGTTAGAGCTCTAATCATTCTGATTCTTGTAGTGTAGTGGTTGTGTGGCCAAGATGAGCACAACAGTCAGTTCTAACCGTGGTAGTGGTGGCGGTTGCAACATGGCAGGAGTACCAGTCTGGGTGGTGGTAGCACAATGGTCTCAAAAAACAAAGAAAAGTACAAAAGGATGGACCTAAGCTTGTTACATCAATCAACATATATTGCCAAAATTAGATCTTATAAAAGGTTTGAGAGCAATTCTCACCTAAGAAGCTAGCTTTTGAGATTGTCATATGCCCAATCCAAATTAAAGCTTTTTCATATTTTTAAATTACACCATATTATTACAAGTGTTATTTTACATATCTATTATTCACCTAAAACTAAAATAAAAATAAAAATATTAGCTTTTACAGGCTCCACACATAATTTAATTTTACTGGGTAAATACTTAAAATTAGCCTAATTATTAGTTTCTTCATGTTGTGTAGTATCCCATGCTTTTCTAGAATTCCCCTTTTGGAGTAACTTTGTGCATCACCTCGTTTTTCAATATTGGTGTAGAGCATAAGTTGTATTTCATGTTGCAGGTAGTTTTGGATCCAAACATACCAGTCAAGATCTTAAATGAAATCAAGAGTGTACTTGTCGTAAATCTTGTATCACATGGGCAATTGTCCGAGGCTCTCCTTGTCTATGAACAGATTAAGAAAGGTGGACATAAGTTGGAGCCAAAAGCGATTACATGTCTAATTGTAAGGTTTTGTATTAGTGTTATTTTAGATTATCTACCTTCAACATTATAATTAATTGCTGACATTCCTAGGAAGAGTTGACTCAACACAATGGGGAGTTGGATCGATTGCTACTTCTACTCAACGAAATGAGTGATCTGGACTATTGGGTTGATGGCTGTTTCAAGGTCATCTTGTACTGTGCACGGAACAATAATTTGAGGTTTGAGGTTTACGCCCCATCCACCGCCCCCCCCCACCCCCCCCCCCCCCCCCCCCCCCCACCCCCCGCCCCCCCCCCCCCCCCCCTACACCACACCTCCGCCCCCCTCCCCCCTCCCCAGCCCACACCAACCTCCCAACACCCCCCCCCCTGCCACGCCCCCCGCGCCACTCCTTTCCCCCCCCCCCTATCCCTCCCTCCCACCTCCTTCCCGCCCAACCCACACACCTCCCCCCCCCCCCCCCGCTCCACCCCCACACACGACAAAACGCCCACCAATCCACGCGCATCCTCCCCCCTTCGCCCCAACCCGGCCCAACCCTCCCCCTCCCCACCCCTCGTTCCGCTGGGCCCCCCCCCCCCCAACACCCCTCCCCACCCCACCCCCCACCACAATACACCAACTACTCCCCCCTCCTCTCCTCCCCTCGAAACCACCTCACACACTCCCCACAAACCAAAACCCACCCCCTCCCACACCCCTACCCCCCCTTCCCCTCGCCAACGCGCCCCAACACTCAACACCATGAACAGCGCACCCACACCCAAGCCCCAGGCACCACAGCACACCCCCCAGCCCCCCACAACCCCCAACCTCCCCCCCCCCCCGCCCCCAACCAAACCACCTCCCCCACCGCCACCCCACCCCCCCCCCCCCCACCCACCCCCCCCCCCCCCCCCCCCCCCCCCCCACCCCCCCCACCCCCACCCCCCCCACCCCCCCCCCCCCCCCCCCCCCCCCCCCCCCCCCCCCCCCCCCCCCCCCCCCCCCCCCCCCACCCCCCCCCCCCCCCACCCTCCCCCCCCCCCACCCCTCCACCCCCCCCCCCCCACCCCCCCCCCCCCCCCCCCTCCCCCCCCCCCACGCCCCCCAAGCGGATGACCAAGTAAGAAGAAAGGTTGGCCATACGAGAGAACGCACTGTGCTAAGCAGCTGCTGATCGCTGTGCACCCTAATGAAGGATATCTGCTAGAATAAGCGTGCTCTTCTGTCTATTAAACCTGACATACACTGCATGCCATGACATGCATCCATAGACATACAAACATGAGACTTCAAAACTCATTATTGTCTTTCTTTGCTGCTTATTTCACTAAATAAAAAAACTCGCATGCGTGTACTGCTTTATTCAATTGCTACTGTGATCAATCAAATAAACATACACATGCGTTGCGTGTATATTGAAAAATATTTGAAAAAAATGAAAACTCCACCAAATTGGATTG